AGCAGGAAGACGTATTATCGTGGAAGCGGCCGTGCGACCAGGCCCTCCGCTCGTCGCGGGTTTATCGCCGTGACTCGTTTGCATTCCAAGCGAAACCGATCTTTCCCCCGTTTCCGCTCGCCCATTTCCATCCTCGTTCATCCCGTCGCGAATCCGCTCCGCGAAATCGGATTGAAAACGCTCTGAAAAACGCGCTCGCGCTGCTCCGATTCAGGGAATAGTCTCGGGTCGCGTTGCACGCGATTTGCATGCCGGTTCTGAGCGGACTCGAAAGAAGGCAATAGCCTGCGAGGTCGCGCTAGGAGGAGTCCGATTGGAGGACGATCGACGGAGTGATCGATGACCGCGGTACGAATAGGGAGATCGGTATTGCGCGGAATATGAGGATTCCGTGGGACAGCTCGGCTCAAAGTAGGGGAAGGTTGAACGACACCGATCTGGAGTAGCGAGAAGCAGAGGCTGGTCTCGGACGTGGACGGATCTAGCAGGCTTTAACCCTGCGCGTAATTGAATATACCAGCCGGACAAACTCTCGCGGAGGTGTGTGCCGGGAGAAACAATAGCGATATCGAGGCAGCCGGATAACGATCGACAGGTGGAAGAGAATCGGCCCATAAATTACGCGTTGACCCGTGGACTAGAGCGAAAGAGCCCCCTGATAAGCATCTATTATATCGTCGACACCCGTTCGCGATGCTTTCGGTCCGTTCGACGGGGTTGGGAATCGAACGGGAGCACGGAGTCACGATTTTTCGATAATCCCGGCGTAACGCTGCCGTCTCGTGATTAAACCGCGATCACGGCGGAGAGGGCGAGAGGAGGAAGAAAGACAGGAGTGGCCGCGGGGAGAAAAAAGACAAAGAACGAAGAAAATATCGCCGAGAGTTTACATTACAAAGTATGATGAGGGACTTGGCCGTTCTCCGTTCGAGAGATCTCCATGAAGCCCGCGTTAAAAGAATCTCTGGTCTGACCATATCGGTCGAACAGGTGTGCCTGTACGACGCAGGAATAAACGATTAGCGATTCGATTAGCATCCGTGGATCATATCGATCGCGGCTACTTGCATTCCCAATGATACCTTGCTTCTTTCGCAGCCCGATTTCGCAATCGGGCCGCATGTCGTCCGCATTAGAGGAGCGCGTCTTCCAGTCGGCACAGCTTGATCTCCACGGCCGAGTTAATTATCGACGATTCGTTACCGAGGACACGAGAACACGTTAATTAACGTCTCGTGCTGCGTCACGCCTGTACGACGCAAAAAGCTTCGGCTTGAAAATTGAAAAGCACGTCGCGTGGCCTTCTGTCGTACTTCTAGCCGACCGTATTATGGAGCCGCCATAAATCCTATTTTCCATACATAGGGATCGAGAAAAATCTCGACCGGTGGTCCCGCGGGGATCTTTATCGGTCAACTCGAGGACGAAGAAATCAGCCACGAGAAAGAAAGAGAGAGAGAGAGAGAAAGAGATCGAGCCAAAGACGCTGCTCCTCTCGCGCCCAGGAAGGGCAGCGGGTGAAGAGAGGAGGTAGGGCAAAGGGTGGACGGAATAGACAGGTTTAAGGAGAGAAGGAAAGGAAGAAAAATGGAGCGGGTGGCGGTGGTGGCGCTAGGCGATCGGAAGTGTGTCAAATTACAGAGGTCCGTGATATTAATGACTCCTAATGACATGCCCCCCTTCTGTCCGTGGGCCCCTTCTCCCACCTGACCGCTCGAATCCCCTCCTCGCCGGCTGATTTCCTCCTACCGGCTCCCCTCGAACCACCAAGGTTGTCGGAGGCCGCTGTTCGTGGTCGAAACCGATTCACGGAATCGGCATTAAAGATACAATTGCTAATTGACGGAAGGCTAATAGCAATAAGACAAACAATCGGGGCTAAATGCTATAAAGTAAAACACAGGTTGCCAATGGCGTCTCTCGTCGTTCCCTCTTTCGCTTCGCCATCTCCGTCCATCGTTCCTTCTTCGTTTTCGTCCTCTCGCTAGACAAATACGACCCGAGTCCAACCCGTGCCGCTATTCGTGGATCCTCTTTCGGTCTGCCGTCGGTAACGACCGGTTCAGCGTTTCCTAGAGCTTCTTCTCCCGCGTCTTTCGAAGCTACCTCAGCATCCCGCGTTCCCTTTCGGAAGAAGAGCATTCGGAGACCGTCGAGGATCGTGACCTCTGCGCGAATTTTGGACTCCGGTAAGGGATCCGTGATCCCTGAGATCGTCGATCCGAGGCGAACTGTACGCGACGACGTCTCGATGGGAACAAGGTCCCGTCACCGTCGATGTTCCAGCTTCTTTGACGTCCCGAAGACAGACCCGATCGTAATGTACATCGGAAGGGACGCGAAACGTGCCGCTGATCCGGCTCGTTAAAGATCCGGCTCCGTTATTACCGGCCGCGTTCTCCGCAAGGCGCGATCCCCGACGTGTTACACTTGGCGACACGTGACAGCCCCGAGGAGCCGCGTTTTCCAGACGAACCGACGGTCAGCAGAATTGCACACGCAGAAACAGAGGGACGCGTCTCACGCGAGCCTAAATTATCCGATGGAATCCTCCTCGATTCCCCTATCCGCTGTCGCGTGAGAAGAAACACTGTCCGAAGCTCCGTTGTCCTTCGACCGGGCGATAAAATCCTTCGAGGAGAGGGAAAAAGATTCCAGGAACCAAGGAATTTTTTGGGAAAAAATCTCGTTCAGCCCCGGGGGTTCCACGACGGGGAGACGTCTTCGTTCGGGGAGGATTCCGCCCCTTTTACCACCCGGGCCAGGGGTCCCAGGGATCGAGGCAAGGTTGGCGGATAATGCCGCAAGTTGGAAGGCCGCGAAAGGATTCTTCCAGGCAAATGACAAACCTTCGAGCTGCCTCTGGTGGGCGGCGTGCGAGCACCCAGTAATTGCTTTTACGACATATTTTACGCGGAAACAGATTAGCCTCAGGACGCAATGGCCGGGAACGTCATACCAGCGCGACGGTAGGGATTCTCTGGGTCTTCGATCCGGTTTAGGAAAGAGGGCGCGAATCAAAGGGTCCTCGGGTACTTGAGGACGATATAGTAAACGGTGGACGGAGAGTCGAAGAAGTTTGGAATAGACGAAAGAGAAAGGACGAGGAAGATACCGGACGCGGGACACACGACGGGGATGATGCATCCTTCTTACGACTGGTTTCGCGATTGGGCCGGAACCCGTTCCCCGGTGGGTCGATTAATAAAATGCCCGTGTCCGCGGCGACGCTGGCGGCGGCCCGTCCGATTTCTTTGTCGTGTCTGAAAATTTCTCAATCAGCGTGCCCAGGTTTCCTTTCCGGCGACGGAGGGATTTTCAGCGGGCACGCCGGCCGCGATGGCGCACAATGTTAAAGCCTCATCGTTGCAATTAAACGATGTTGCCCCGGCCCGATCGGCCGTGCCGGGCAAAAAGCCGGCTAAGAAATAACGACGCGGATTTATAATGCCGATACTTGAGCCTTTCGCTCAGACTCCGCCGTGTCGTATTATTCGTTTGTGAAATTTATGTTCCTGCCATCGGCGAAGGTTAAACCCTTCGGTACGTTAATCGTATCGCGATTGGACGAAGAGGGGGGCAACGTGGTCGGGACGAAGAGGAAGCGAGAGGAAGGAAGACGGCGGAACGAAGCGAAAGGGAGAAGGAGTGAGGAAGAAGAGGGAAGCGGACGACAGACGGACGATGAAACTCTGTGCAAACTCACCTTGTATGGATTCCGGCGAGGCTGGCTCCTTATCGATTCGGCCGAGCGCGTCGCTGGCTGCAACAAAAAGTGCAACGGGGCCTCGTTAGTGACGTCGCGTTATAAAGCCGCCGGGGAAACTTCGCCTTTTTCTCGTAAAAATGATAGATGCGATTCGAAAAAGAATTTCCGCGAGAGCGTTAGCCTGGCTACTCGTGGTCCCGGCCGACCATCTCTGCCCATAAAGATCGACGGCTCGTCGCGGCAATTAATAAACGATGCGTCCTCTCGATCATTTGTGAGTCAAAAGTCCGTCAGGGATCGAGAGAACTCGCGCGATCCTGGAGATTCTCCGTTGAAATTTTTATCGCCGTTGCCGCTAAGCCGAGTCCCGATGCTTCTTGCCGGGGATGGTATACTCGTTAAGCGAGTGTCGTTTATCCTAATCGTCGGGGACTCGCGTGGAATCTTTGTTAGCCTAACTTTTATACGGAAGCCGGTCGAATCCCTTTTAGAACGTCGTTCGCTCGCGTCGCGAGGCTCCAACGACGCCAGTTCGCTAATCAGTCGCTCCATCTCGCCACAAGTTCCTCGAATCCTTTTCACGACCGACTTCGTCTCTTTCAGCCCCTATAATTTCGGCCCAGAGCCGCCCGACGCCCACATCGGGCCTGATTAAACCGGAGGGCGCGTAAATGCGATCACCGCGATAGCATCGGGCACACGGAGTCTTCATCGAACAGCCGAATTATGCTAAAACGCGTCCACTCGCACATGTCGGGAAATCCTCCCCTTTTGCCCAATTTCCCAGAAACGGGGCCAACTTTCGCTCGATATTCAAATAATCTATTCGAGGTCCCCGACAGAGAGAACCGGAGGAAAGAAGATGGCGGTCATTCGCAGCGAGGATGACCATCGTAGATCACGAGGGGTCTAGGATCGTTCCGGAGAGGCCCTGGCCGGCCACCTACTACCCCCCAGGGACTCGCAACTCACCCCTGAAAACGACTGTATTCAGATAATCCCACCTTTCCTCTCGTCCCGTTTCCACCAGAGCACGCGCGACATTTCAATACGACCACGCCAGCCGGATAAACCGGCGCAAATACGGCCGGATCTGCGCGTCCCACGGCTTCGAAAATAACGGAGGCTCTAACGATGACATATCGACGGAACAGGGCGTACGTCAGCCCTGCTGATTTCTCGGTAAAAGAAGTACCAACGTCGCTTGGAATCGCGAGGATTCGTGGCACAGCCGACGCGGGTTTCCATGGAACTCTGAAATTTCCTTGGATTCCGCGAAGCGATTAAAATACAGAATATGAAGGCAGGAGATAATGCCGTGTCTAATAGTTCGAACGAGTTGCAAAGGTTGGCCATAATCGCAAGGCAGGAGACCGAAAAAGGAAGCGGGAATGCGAGCGCGTCTAACGATCATCGACGCGGCTCTGAAAAACGAACAATGCGAGGTCCTTGATGCGCTCGTTTTCATTATTAAACGAAGGACTGCCGCTGGAAACTGGCACACGCTTACATTAAATATGAACGGTGACCTCGTTCGTGTGTCCATCGACTTTTTCCAACGACGCGTTAGTCACAAAGAGCGCAACGAACGCCCCACGGCGGTATATCCCTTGCCGATTCGAAAGGAAAAGGTCGAGCGAACCGATCCCGCTATGATCCATAAATACCGCGACGCGAAGATCGATGAGTTCGAACGGTGTCATCCGAATCGTGACCGGGCGGATCGATCCGCGGATCGGCCGACCCGAAATACCTCCCGACGCGATTAATCCACGCCACGAGTTCGAGAACCGTTTAAGAGGGAAGAAACCGCGATAAATTCCACCTGTCCCTCCGTTCCTCCAACGTCTCCGGGGTGTTGTAAACCTGTTACCTTTGCACATGCACTTATGCACTATTCACGGCTCGAGCATCGAATTGGGCACTAAACGCGTCCATCTAGTCGCCATTTTTCTACCCAAATCGTCTACGACTGGGTGAAGCGTGCGTATCGCGTGGGTGAAAGTACTGAGGTGAAACCAGACGACGTTTTTCAACCCCTCGCTCCTCGTTCATTCCTCCGACCTGAGTAAAATCAGAATCATTCACCCTTACGGTCGCCAAATATTCATGGGAAATGCGTCCACGAGGCTCGACATTTGCCCGAGATCGTCGAGATTTCCTTATTCACCCCTGACAGACAACACAGACGTGTCAGTTATTAATTCGAAGGAATCGGCTTCTGACAGGCCGGAATCGCGTGTCTGCGGCCGCAACCCCTTCTCCCTTAGTATTCATAAAGGTCACTCGCGGAGTGCCACCTCTCGTGCACGTATTCCCATTCACCGGGGTTACGTCGACGAGACACCTGTACAGCCGACAGCTAGCCGCGGACAGGTGAACTCGACGGACTTCCACCGGCTGCCAAAGAATGGCCGCGGTCGGAAGCTCTATAGGGACAACGCGATTATTACGGCTCCATCCTGGCCAGTCAACGGCCTCCGCGAAATAATGCAGCGGAGGAATCGATTTTTCCAATACGCCGCATCGATTCGTGGGGTTGATCGGGGGTGAACTGCGCGTTTCGAAGCATACGTCGGTGATTCACCGATGATCGGAATAATCGCGTGCTTGTATTCAACGAAATAATTCGACGTGGGAAATTTGAAAATTTATTCGAAAATTTAGCAGATCTCGATCTACCAGATCTCGAATCCATATTACGTCAATATTCGAACGGCGATAACTTGGCGTACAGAAATCTCACGATAATATTTGTGGAGCCAGTGCAAAGGGCAAAGCCTGTACTTTTGCAACCCCTTCCCCCGTTTAGTTTCTATCAAGAAATTTTTATAACAGAAAACAAAGAGAATTTTTCAGTCAGAAAATTGTGAAAATTCTAACGCTGATAGTTTTCCGAAGAATTTTGTGCAGGGTGTGTAGGAATTATGGGAAAGAAGATAGAAATAAACTAAATTCTGCTGGTTTCAACTAAAAGTATATATATTTTGCGTAAACCCATGCAAGGAACCGGACTGTCGCCTTCTTAACACAGCTAAAAGACAGAAAGATTAAAGCAAAATCCGATGCAGATCCTCGTTACGCCGATGCTGGCCCAGGTTACAAATTACCAGGAGTTTGTTATTTACGAATAACGAGCACCAATTGGAGTAATAATCCAATAATAATAGAAGCCCGTGACGATTTCGAGTAATCCATAACAATTTAATTTAATGAGCAAGAGGAAAAGTCTATACCGCGGGACATTTATTGACAGCGTTTGGGGTCGATGCGTACGATAGGTCTCGATATTTCGTTCGATCGTTTCGAGATCGATTGGAAAAATACAAAGACAGAGCGACGCTTCGAACGAGCCGGTTCAAAGGTAGATTCTCGACTGTGAAGTTGGATCGGAATGTCAAATGCACTTTGACCGCGACGAGTTAAGGGACGTTTCGACTGCTTTATAAGCAGCGCGAAGTTTGCAAGTTTCGAGAAGAGGAGGAATCTCGAAAGGAAATGGGGAACATCGCCTCGGACAAACTTAAAATATACGAGAACCGCGATATTCGCGGTGGAACGTCCTTCGACGAGTTTCGGGTACAAAAAGCCAGCAATGGGAAGCAGCGTGCTCCGAAGACTGTATCGACTGCCGGTGTCGAATCCACGCGGTCTTGCGGCGTGTCCGCGTTTCACCGTCCGGCAAGGAAAACGAGATTTTAATATTTAAACCACGCCACGATACAATAAGTGTAATAAGCATAGAGGCGACCGTTGGCCGGCGTACAAGAGACGGTTGAAATATTAATGCTGACATTTCGTTGCTTTGCGGTAGTCTAACCACCCCTCCGCACCATGCTCCGCTGTGCCGCCGGTGGCTTTCAAGGCTGCGGTTTCCGGGGAACGATATTGCACCGAGCCATTCCCGTCGCGATATATTCTAATCGCGCTGAATTCGCAGCGAGCACGCGTTTTCCCGACTTTTCCGTGGATTCTTCCCTTTTTTCTCCTGCTCACGCCTGGGTCACGCCGGCCACCCCTCCCAGCCCTCCGCCATTCTCGTTCTCCCGTCGAAGGAGCACCATGAATACCAGATGCGGGATCCGGATACGTCTAGTTTGCGCGGTAGCCGGCCCTCCTCGTCAATTTTTAAGAACCAGCTTGTAATACGTATGCACCGGCGTTGGATATGGAAACCACGTTCCCAGCGTTGAATACAGCGGGGAAAATCGTGCCGTCGAAACGGGCGTGAATAGCGATGAGAAATCGCTGCGATCGTACGAACGGGGTGGTAGCCGTAGCGGAACAGATTTGCCATGTGATTCGCGGTGACCAATGGCCGATCGTCCGACGAGTTTGCTCCGCGATAAAATCTAGTCTAACGAGCGAAGGGGGTGGATCGTGGCTCGGCCGAGGGTGATCTCGAGCGGGAAAGTTCAAAAAGTTCCAATAGAGCTTTAAGATAATGCATGGAAATAAAGATCCGGCAAGATCCGGGGGCTCCATTTACCGCGGAATCCGCCGTTCGTCAAGATAACCGGGCGAACAAACGTCTTCGCTGCCGCGAGAAAAATCCTAATCCGCGGCAGCCGGAAAGTTGGAGAGAGACCGCGTCTGCGGGGAGGAAGGAGAGGAGAAGGTGGATGAGAGAGAGGGAAGCGAAGGGAGGAGAAGAGAGACAGGGAAGAAATGCGCGTTGGAAACAGCGTTCTTGTACGTGAGCCGAGACTTTTTCCAATTACAAACGGCGCCATTCGCGAGCCGGCTGGCGGCGATTATTTTTAAAACAAGAATATTCCCTTCCGCCCCGGGACATAATGAGGAGGAGGGGAAGCACGGTCGGAGGGCGCGATAATGGCGGCCGTTATGAAGAAATCAACCCACCCCCGAGTCCCTCCACCCCACCCGGCCCGCCACGCCGCCCCTCTGCCCACTTGATCTTCCGTCTCCATGGCGACCGCCTTGTCCAACGGACCCCTACTCGCACACGGGGTGGTTGCGAGCATTCTCTCTTATTATGAGACTTGCTCCACCCGCGAAAGGGTTGCAACCCCCGTGCCTCCGTGCCTGGCGCT